GTGTCTTAATGTGACGTGTCTTAATGTGACGGTGTCTTAATGTGACGTGTCTTAATGTGACGGTGTCATGTGATGTTTGGTTGTCGTCCTGGTGGTTTTCCTGCAGGACCGTTTGGTCTCACGAGCATCCTGTTGAGTTTTTCTTTTTTTGTGCTTTACCTCAAATAATTATGTGTTTTAATTCACAACATGACAAGCAATGTTTTTATTTAAAATATGACATTTGAGTATTAAATAAACAAAAATACATTTCAGAGCATTATTGAGCACTAAACTGCCAATTTAATTTTTGTTTATAATTTTGTCATATTTTTTAAGTTCAACGTTTTGAGCAAAGCAAGTTGCAGACATGATGTGAAAACATAAACCAGTGGGTGAAAATCTCCATCCTGGTTGTCAAAAAGCACAAAGCTTCTTTCCTTCACTGCTAAAACCCGCAGCATCCTAACGAGCGCGCGGACACGCACATAAAGGCGCCGTCCCTCTCCTCAGCGAGCGGCTGAGCCGTGGCGCATGCGCAGTGGGCGGAACCCAACTGAGCAATATGTTGAGAGTTCCAGGTTGATGCCAAAGGACACGGTGGACGTCCCGGTGCATGTTCAACACGGTGGACGTCCCGGTGTATGCTCAACACGGTGGACGTCCCGGTGCATGCTCAACACGGTGGACGTCCCGGTGCACGTTCAACACGGTGGACGTCCCGGTGCACGCTCAACACGGTGGACGTCCCGGTGCATGCTCAACACGGTGTTGACGTGTGCGCAGTGACGCTCACGTCAACACCGAGACAAGCAGCGTCCCTGACACACACACAGCTAGCATGGAGGGGGCTAGCACACTGCGAGTCGATACAGCTGAGCTAAGTGCATAAAAAACAAGCCTCACGGGCACGATCTCAGACCTCCACTAGACAAGACAGACAAGAGACATTCTGCTATTTCATAATTCGCCATGATGCTCTGTGCTACACCTTCGCTTGTGTGACTGAATGCATTTGGACAGGTTAGCATGCTAGCATTGCTGAAAAGAAGCTAGCATCCACAGCCTCTCACCTTTTGGTCAATATCTCCGACCACGTAGAATTTAACATCTTTAAAAAGTTCGTCGGGAACCTTCCATTCCTCCTCGGACATGATTTTCCATGAATGGAGGGAGAGAGTGTGTGAAAGACTGCAAGAAGGAAGTTTGTAGCCCTCAGATAACTGGACACAACAGCGTGAACCCTCGGAGCGCGCCTTGGACTGTACCATTCCGCTCTGACACGCGGGTGAGGAGCAGAAAACATAGACATATTATACGTAGACGCCTCGTTGAGCGGGCTGGTCCCTGTCGGAGCGTCCGCCATATTGGATGTGGCAGATCTGCCGGTGAACTAAAAGAAGGAAATGACTGAACTTCACAAAGCACCGTTCTACAAAGTGATGTATGCTGTGATTCACGCACACACTAATATATCTGGAAAACAAACAGGCACCAAAGACAAAATATGTAACCTTTAAAGTGATTATTAAAAATGTTTACTCCTTAAGTATTTAGGTTATATCTAAAAAAAGTTACATCTGGTCCTCTGGACATTCAAAAAAATATATATTTTTTGTTTTGTTTTGCTTTTTTTTTTTTTTTGAATGTCCAGAGGACCAGATTTAACTTTGTTTAGATTTTTCTACCTGGATTATTGAGCATGCATCAGGATATGTAGGTTATAGGTAAACACTAAACCAACATTCTTTTGCGTGTTTACAACTAGTAACGTGTAACAATATTACTGTGGTGATGAATATGGAAATATTCATATGTAACATTTAATCTGTGTCTATAATAACCAGATCCTGAAATGTAGATGTGACGTGTGGATTTTCTGAATAAAGAGCACTAATCACAAAGTTTGTTTTCTCAGTCATCCAGGTATATAACAACAAAAAAGGTTGAATCATGTCATCTGGACTTCGTTTTTTTTGTTAAAAAGAAACGTTTCGCCCCTCATCCAAGAGGCTTCGTCAGTCTGAGGCCTAGCCATCTGGTATTACCCAGAAGCCACCCTGACTCTTGTGTTTCAAGCCTGCCTCAGATACCCCTGAAGTCTGGCCTTTTCACTAATGGTTTCAAAAACACAAAGAGCACTAATGTTCACATTTAACAGATTCATCACATCTGTGCTGCTACCGAGTGGTTCTCATTAAAATTATGCCATTTACAAGCACACTGGTTAGTAGATCTTAAATACTTAGGACATCTGCAAATTTAGAAAACAATTTATTAGTTTCCATTTTAATTTATAAATATTATTTTTAAAACTACTTTTTAAATACTTTTTTTTAAATCCTATGAAAAAAGGAACAAAACAAAACCCAGGAGCTGAGGTTACCGGAAGAAGGTCACCAAAGCAACACAGCCCTGGACCCCAGCAACTGGAAAATAAAAAATAAAGGGCAACCACCAAAAAGAAAATGAAAAAACAATTACAAATATAGTAATTCGACAATATGCCCAATAATTTAACAAAAATAAATAAATGCCAGTCCTACTAACTATCTACATCAGTGGTCCAAAACCTTTATTGCGCCACGGACGGGTTTAATGTCAGACTATATATTCACAGACCGGGGGTGGGGGCGGGAGTCTGAGGGTCCTACCCCAGAGAATTTTTGGATAAAGTAGATGCCATTTCCTGCATTCTGGTGTATTTTACAAAGGTTTATTACAGTAGATTAACATGAAACAAAAGATGTAAACTCATTACTGAAATGACTGCAAAGCGTACGTAATGCAAAACTGCTGCAGCTCTGCAGGTAAACCGCTGCAGCTCTGCAGGTAAACCGCT